CCCCCCCCCCCCAAATCATCGGTGAACGAAACTGTAGCAGCAACAACAAGTGTACGACGAGTACGCGGTTCTTATGACAGACAATGATGATGATGATCCGCAACTAAAATATGGTTGTCTCCGAATTAAACTGATAGCTTTTGCTTCCATAGACAAATTCAGTTGAAACTTACAGCTGACAATGATGATGATGATCCGCAACTAAAATATGGTTGTCTCCGAATTAAACTGATAGCTTTTGCTTCCATAGACAAATTCTCTCAGTTGAAACGCTCCACAAGGGTTAAAGTGATGGCAAGCATTGCCATCGCGAAAGCACTCAATCAAAAAGAAGCATAAGCATACACGGAAACGGGTTAGGATCATTAAACAGAGACCAAAGGACAACGGTCTCGTGTGAAACCCGTCCTAATGAGCTTATTGGTCGGCACGAATATATATATATATATATATATATATATATACCCAAGGCGAACGTCTCCTTATCACAAGTGACGATCTTTAACGAGACAGAACAAAAGTGATAACTGTAAATAAATTCCTACTTTCTATGTACACATCGATCTTGGTTTACTTCATCTCTCTTCCTGGAAATATAACGGACGCAGATGGGAGTAAGTCGGCACAAGAAACCGTATACATATTCATCGTGTCGACAACTAACTTACATGATTGTCGCTTTGATTTTGCTGCCCAACTGGAATCACAGTCCTTTCCATTTTTTTCAGTGTCCAGCTGCGTCTAAACAGCGGCAATGGCATGGATCTCAATGAATTCCTTTATCCAACCCTACAGGCTGTGGATTTTCTCCATTTGTATCAAAAATACAATTGTCGTATTCAGGTAAGTGAGCCTTTTTGTCATATTGTTTACTTTCACAGGTTGGTGGGCAAGACCAACTTGGGAACATTCAATGTGGATTGGATTTGATACATCGAATGCTCGGTAGTTACGCTTTTGGTAAGCCGTCCATATTATTTATAGGTAACAAACCAAGGGTCACTTGTCCTTCGAGACACAAGCTTAGCCTATGTGATATGGTGATTCCGTCAAGAGGAACTTTTCTGAAAACGGCACTCTTGTGAAAAGTCCCAAAAGAACGTTTCACGCCAGCCATCAGTTAATGTTTTCCTCCGAAGAGTTGCCATCCCCTCTTCAGAATAGGCCAAATGCTCCGTTTTATATGATGGCTTCTCTGAAGGGAATTGCTTTTGAGGAAAGCCACTTTTTGGATTAAGACCAGGCCAAAATTGGCCTCAGAATTTCCCCTTAGAGTGTGAAGACTTCATCTAACGATTGCTCTAGACTTACAACTACTCATAAATAGTGTGTGAAATTTTTTGGATGTATTCTTATATTTGGGATACACATGACCGATCTGGTTATCTCGGTAGGCAAGGATGCATTTTAAGTCAATGGAGGAACATACGGTAACAGTCGAATGTCTGCTGAATGCCTTGGTGTCCAAGGACTAGCGATGCTCATCGAATTTTCCCATTAAACTATAGATAAGGCCAACTCGTGCGTGCTAAAAACACTTTCGCAGGAAATGCCTACTGTTTTCCACTAGGCCAAGGGGTTGCATACGCTAAACCCCTCGGGGTTTTATCAAGGCGATACTCATTTTCAGGTGGTTTATTGGTTACTGGTTACCGAGGATGAAACTTACGCCAGTGGCTGCTTATTTTTCACGGGTCTTTTTCAGTCCGAAGAAACTAGACCATACCGTGGTGTGGCGTTTTGTGTACCTCGGGGACCCGTTGCGCTATACTGGGAGGTGTCCGCGCGACTTTCACAATGTCTCCCATGCCAGGTTGGTCAATGGGTAGAGGTCTACACTAGCGTGGACTCCCATCATGCACTTACGCGCTGCTGCTTTTCATTGAGCCTTCCAGGTGTACGCAAACCCGCACACCCCGCTTAGCCATTGAGAAGTTGGTGGATCCAGAAGTCAAACAAATTTATCAGAACCAGGTCCTCGAGCGCCTGACGGACGGTACGATGTCGGATATTAACGGTCACTGGGAAAACGTATCCAAAGTGTTACTAAACGCCCAAAAGTCTGTCTGTGATACAATCCAGCCAACCTTATCCAAACATTGGATCTCCGTGTCTTTGCTGGAGACCGGGCGACAGATCCCTCCTGGCCGCAAGCACAACTCCACCCAACGCATCATCCGGTGCCAGGTAAAACTGAGTATCCGTGCAGACCGAGAAGCTTGATGGGCCCGAAAGGCCCAAGAAACTGAAGATGCAAAGAATACTGGAAAAGTCCACAAGCTGTTCCACGTGATTCATTCGACGGTACTCGGAGACCTCTTACCAGCGAAATAATCAGGAACAAAAATGGCTCCCTGATATGCATCAAAGCAGAATGTTTGGACCGCTGGGCACAGTATTTCCAGAAGGAATTCAACCGGCCATCTACTACTTTCAATCCAGAATCCTGGCTTCCAACAGAAAAGTGGACCGTGAATTTGGACCCGCCTTCAGCTTCAGAAGTATCCGAGTGTATTTCACCAGTCAAGCGTCATCGTGCTGCTGGCCCTGACGACCGTCCACCAGCTCTTTTCAAGAATGGCGGTGTACTAATCAGCCTCTCCGTCACGAAGAGACTGGACCTTACCGTGGTGTGACGGTTTGCGCACCTCAGCGATCCATTGAGCTATACTGGAGAGTGTCTCGCGACACCCACAGAGTCTCTCACACTAGGTTGGTCAATGGTTAGAGGTCTGACGAACACAGTCTCTTGGCCCTCCATGCTGGCGGTTGGAACATGTATGGCGACTTGTTCCGTAGAAAATGTAATGCATTTGCATTTCCCGTCAAACACCGCTGCCTTGCGGTTAGGCTTTTGAGCCAAAGGCTTTGGTTGAGGACCCTAATCGTCCTCCTGTCTAGGTGTGGGCGCCCTGGCAGTATCCCAGCCCACGTACAACCATGAATTACAC